GTCAAGCTCAATCAGCTTTGCACATTGGGAACATAATTACCATATGGTTCTATGTATTGGAGAAAAAATCAGAAAGAGAATGCAGTAGAAAAATATTTGTCTTTTTATAGACTTGTGCTGCTTAACAGCATTTGACAATGCCATGTGGGGTAATCATATTTCTGGTTCCTTTACTTGAAGCATCATGAGAAAATGTATTTCTTTTTCTTTATTATTCATTACTAGCAGTAGAGCCCGGTGTTGCCCGGGGATGTAACAGTAAGAGATAGATCAAGTATCGACCATCATAAAGACTGAAAAATAAAATTGACAAAGATTATTGTTTAAGGTTGATGGACACGCATGTCTTAATTAGTTTTTTTTTTTGTTTTTTTTACAAATTGGTCAAACCCAAACTCAAACAAAAACATTGTTTTCAATCGTTATGAGTCTACCGGTTAAATAGAATTTTTCAATTTTATTATAAACAATTGTCTTGTAAATGGAATTTTTAAAGCATTCTGAATGTAAAAATAAAGAAAAAAGTGTGCAAGACAATAAGAAACACTACCTGCCCCTAAAAAAGTGAAGTTTTGTTGAAATCGGTTGAAAAATGTAGGAAATTCGATCCCATATATAAATGAACACACACACTCACACACACACACACACACAACCTGGGTTTTATAATAATTATAACTCGATATGAGTTGTCCCCCTTTCATTCTTGAAACAGCGATGCCTCTTAATTGTGTTTTCAAATTGATTTCGTGCAAAAACAATTGTGTTTTTCCAATTTTTGGCACTGTCAGAACTACCACAAGGTAATTTTACGTAGTTCTGTGAAGTTTTGTTGAAATCGGTTGAAAAATGTAGGAAATCCGATCCAATATATAAACGAACAGACACACACACACACACACACAACCTGGGTTTTATAATAAGTATGATTATTATTACTATTATTTTATTTATCGATTTTATTTCATTTTCCCACAAGACTCAGTTCTAAGTGATGAGTTAAGAGAGAAACTTTAGAAGAGAATTTGTGAGCAAAATATTCTGCTTTATTGGCAGATGATAACACTTTAAATTGAGTGAAGAGAAAAGGGTTTGAGCACTTACTCTTACTTAACACATTCTTACAGAGTGCCAATAGTCCCAAGAACCAAATTCGTGAAGCTGTACCATGCCTCACCCAATGAGTAAACAATGATTTAACCTCTTCAGTGATATATTTGCACCTATTATAAGAGGATACTGTTGTATCCTTAAAGAAGGTTACAAACAAAGGTGGTACTCAAGTGAAAGGAACAGCAACATGCACGTAGATGAAAGAAAGAGGTTTATTGTAAAAGAGAATACACTACTAAAAAACAGAGAATCACTTAGCAGGCTAGTAATTCCCAAAGCAAGGTTATTTACCTTACCTCCCCGTGAGGCAGGATGTGGCACAAGGCCGATTTTTAATGTGGGGCTTGTAGGCTCGGGCAAAAATTCCCCGTAGACAAGGGGTCGGGTAGCTGTTTACCACCCCAGACAAGACTCTGCCCCTCGGCACAGCCTCGTCTAGGTTCCTCTCTGCCCAAAGGCAGAGAGTTCAACCAGCACAGCTGGAGATGAATCTCCAACTAATTGCTGAAGCAAGTCCACCCAGGTATATCCTGTGCTCACTATATATATATATCTACCAATATAGTCAGTCCACATATGTGATAGAGGGTGTGGGACATTCCATTACAACAGATACAAATAGAAATTTATTGTGATCAGAGCTATCATGCTGGTATAGAGGGAAAAGTTATTCCAGTGGGCTATAGTGGCTGTACATGCAGGTGTGAATCAAGAAGATTGTGGTTTTATCTCATATTTATGAGAAGGCATTAAAGCATTAATGCAGGCTTCACCCAAGAAGAAACTTCAGAGGCACAATTTTCAGTAGAAAAAATAAAGATTTCACTCACAAAGAAAGTTGTGAAATGAATCCCAATCAGTATGTTGGTAGCAGAAAGAAGTCTTTTGAATGAAGAGGGGGTTTCATGACCAACAGGTGAATTAAAGTAAATATCAAACTTACTGCTGAAAAACATCAACAATAAAAAATAGCTTTAAGCTGTCTGGATTTCTTAAATAAAGTATTTTTATCATTAATTTATAACTATTTTATCATTCATCATCTCATTGATGCTTTTTTTATCCTACAAACTAGTCAAAAACTAATAATCAACTCAATAATATGTCAAAATTTAATTTGACCAACTTAATGATTCAAATTAATGAGAATGTTTTAGATTAATACTTAATTAGCTGTAAAAAAAAAAAAATAAAATAAAATTTTAAAATAAACAGGACAAAATTCTTTGTTATATAACCTTCTGGATGTTTAAAGCAATTACTAACTAATATAAAGAATGTTTTTGCTTTTTATTGATTTCAAATTGTATTACCTTGGTGAAATTTCTAGGTTTTAAAAATGTAACTCAGAGCTTCCATTGAAGAAATTTTTATTTGACTTAGAAATATACTTCAGGTTTATGTTGATCAATGCCATGACATTTTTTGCTGTCTCATTCATTCCTCTTGAGTACTATTCTCATGAGGAGTGTACTATTTTTTTATTCATTTTGTTTAGATTTTTCTTTTTACCTTCTTTTTATTTTAGTTTTAGTGATAGCAACACTGACTTGCATGAAGATCATTAATTGATTGATTTATTTTTGATGGCTTATCAACACTTTGGGAGAAATTTAAACCAAAACATATTTGAAGTTGTAAGAGGTTGCTTATAGCATTCCCAAGTGTTCCCCCAACTAAGTATTGACTGGGGTCGACACTGCTTAACTTCTGATTGAATGAGAACAGTGTTTTCAGCATGATTTTACTATAGGCCCTTAAATGAAGATAAAATAAAAATTAAATAAGATAAAATTTCACCAAGTAAAATCCATCATATTTTCAAATATATATTTTACAAAAAATTCTACTCTACATATATTAATTTTCAGCAATAAAACATTTTTTATATAACAAAACATTATGCAGTATTTTCCATTTAAGTTCCTGTTTTCTTCTTCTTCTTCTCATTATTATTATTATTATCATCATCACCACCACCACCACCACCACCACCACCTCTGATCCCTGATCTGTACACATTTCATTCTGGGCACCACCCAGAGACCTAAGGTCAGAAATGGCATTATGACATTTTACACTGACCAATTAAAAAAATAAACACACATATTTTATATAGATAAAACCCTTCATAAAGTGTGGGCTGTACTCGTGAGAACAATTTATTATTATTATTATTTCCTTTGATTTCTGTTGTATAGATATTGCTTTCTGGGTCTCAACCAGAGACCTAATGGCTTCATGACATTTTCCACTGATCACTTTTGCAAAAAAAAAAACTAAGATCACACACATTTTACATAGATAAAGCTCTTCATAATGTGTGAGGTGTACTTGTGAGTACAATTTTTTGTATCTCTTTAAGGCAAATATCTTCAAAGATATATTACAATTTGTAGGGACTGTCATGTCAATATGAAAACACATTCTATTCTTTTTGATTTTCAATTACAATGTCTGGGTGATTAGATTTGATTGTTATGTCTGTGTGTATTGTAAAGACTCATAAAATTGTTAAAGGTCCTATCCCTGTAAATGGATCTAGGTGATGTTCATATCAGTTTCTTGCAATTTCCTTCCTGTAAAAGTTGCATATTTTCCAATGCAGATATTGGCCCACCCTATCATGCTGAGTTTATATTCAGTGGGTGCTAACACTGTGCAACTTGATACAAGATGGTCAATTGTTTCTGGATATTTATCAGAAAATCTGAATTTTTCAGTATATCACTTGATAATTTTTAGTTAGCAAGCAATGGTCCTGTGCAGCAAGAATAAACTTTTGATTTCAGCTTTTAATCCTACAATTCTTATTCTTATTTTCCTTGAATTTTGTTGTATACTCATTTCCTTCCAGGGTCATAACAAGAGACCAAAGGTCAAAAATAGTATCATGACATTTTTACTAAACATTTTTTAACCTATGCACATACATATTTTACATTGATAAAACCCTTCATAAGGTGCAAACTGTACTTCTGAGAACAGTTATGGGTTACTAGGGATTATTATTATTATGATTCCTCATCCTCCTTGTTCTCCTTCAGATGTTCACCTGTAGGAATTCAGAATTATGTGGAAGGTTTGGACAAAAACATATTCCAAATTCCTATGATATCATCATTATTGTAGGATTGTTTGTCTAAAACAGTTGATAAGTGAATAAGAATCAAAAAATAAATAATAAAAATATCCAAAATAAAAAAGGAATAATGTACAATAACAACAAATAAACAGTTATTTTAGTTTCAGTCCAGACTTTTCTACATTTTATTTGGAATTTTAAAAAAGATTAACTGAGTCATTTTCTACAGCTTATCAACCCTTTCCAGGTTATTTAAAGCCAGAAAATATTTCTAGATTGTAAGAATGTTTTTAGATAATAATGATTTACTAATACAAATTTTATTAATTAACTTATAGCTGCATTCATACCAAATCAGAATTTGCTAAACAAATAAAAACTTATAATGTGGATATAAAATGGGGGATTAATTTTATATTACAATCCACATATAAACTGATCCTGCATTTGTGGCCACAGAAGTTTCTATATGTTTATATTCCAGAGAATGTAAATAAATCTAAAAGACATACCTGTGTAGCTAATCAATATGTTATTGATTGATTCATTAATTTTCTATTGATTGTCAACCCTTTGCAGGTTATTTAAGCCAGAAAATATTTTTACATTGTAAGAATTATCTTTTTGGGATATAATAATGATTTAGTGATACTAGTCTTACTAATTAATTCATATCTGGGGTGAAAAGAGGTGGATGGATACTTTTCCCAAGGGTATCTGCACATAAATAAATATAACAAACCCAACTAGAATTGATTAACAATTCCAAGTCATTATTCATTACACCACCCACACATCCAAGCTTACATCAACTAATATTCCTAAGCAGTCACCCATCTAGGTACTGACCAGGTTCAATGTTGCTTAATTTCAGTGATCGTATGAGAACTGGAGTTTCAACATAATATGGCTATAAGTGAAAATTTTAAAAGTAAGGTTTTCTTTAAAAATATATATATATTGATAAAATATAGTTTTAAAGTATGAAAAGGACATCGATAATTAACATCAGAAAGTGACAGTTGAAATTTCTAGGTCACATAATGAGGAAAGCGGGCTTGGAAAATTTAATACTCACAAAACATATTGAAGGCAAGAGTGACAAAGGAAAACAATGCATAACATACCTAGTGATTTTGTGTAAAGGAGAGATAACAAAAAGACAAAATTTATTAAGAGCTAGAAAGGACAGGAAATTGTAGAGAGCCAACATCCTGAAGAGACATGGTACATAGAAGAAGAAGAGTTTTGGGTTTATTGTTCCCACTTATTGTTGTGTAGGAAACCTACCACCCCTCTTGAAGATGAACTTGTCTACAAACAAAGACGTTAAATAGTGGCATGTCAAAAGACAGAGTCAGAGAAGTTCTTGGCTGAGCTAGTTATAGACTACTCAGGCGATTTCTGTACCTACTTACCAACTGAATAAACCCCTTTTTATTGTTACATGTTATTTGGCGTTTGTCTTTATTAACCCCAAATCAACATCATAACACTTATATACATATTATGTGCATTTATAGTCACTTTGAAGACAGCTAAGATGGATCAAACAACTCCAGTTTGCCATAAATTTCCAGCAATGATAGTAGTTTTAGTAGTTTCAGTTGATGTTTTGGCTTCTCATCCATATACTGCCATTATATATTCTTCACTTAAAAACATGCTGAATGCTTGTAGCAAAAAAGCTTTGAACTTTGTTTCTTTCTTTGAAAACAATGTGTTCAAATAATTGCTATGGCAGCCCAATTCCACAACAAGCTAAACAAATCACAAGTCCAAACTTGAAGATCCAGGGGCTAGAAAGAAATGTTGAAATCACAGATAACAGGTCTAATGTCACAAATTCCAATACATGTAAATGGTCAGAAATCCCCATGCAAGTTGATGGATGAGGCACAAAAAATAAAAAAGAACTTCCTCCAATTTGAGAACACCAACCGCTTTTATTAACAAAACAATTTTTCATTGGTCAACAATATTACCATATCCGAGATGCATTTATGGCAACACCTGCAGCTGACTTGGTTTCTATTTTGCTTATTTTGTCTTCAGCATATCATGCAGAACACATGAGCCCTTTTTCTCGGTAAATGATTTTCTCTTTTGCCACAATATTTTTAATGCAGACTTTTATAAGTATGATTTTTCATTCACTAATAAATACAAATGAAACACAATTAATTAACCAATTTTGTCTTCTTGGAATTGATGTTTAGTTCTTTCTTCTCACTTTCCTTCACTACCTTCTGTATGAGTTCTTGTAGTTTCCTTTCTATGTCTGCTATCAACACTGTGTCATCTGTATATCTTATGTTGTTATGATCCCAAACTCATACTCCTAAAATATATCATTTCCTTCTTTCATGTTATAAAAATGGCTTTACTAAAGTCAAATTAGTTGAAACTGATTATTACATCTTGCCTATAAATCAAACCTTCATTACAGACAAGACATTTTCCAATGAAAACCAAATTGAAGAAACCTTCAATAAATGTAAGTTTTTAAAATAAAGAATTCTTTGCAAAGAGAATTTATGACTTCCTGCCAAGTAGAAATAAACTTATAAAAGCCAAAGGGAAATATTTTGATTGAATAAAGAATGAATGCTTTTTTTAATTTATTTAGTTTTAATCAGCAATTTATATTTTATATCAAGCTATCTACAATATGACCACCATCATTATCATTAAATTGCTGTTTTTTTTTTCTCTTTTTCTCTAAGGGAATGAAGGATAAACTGCAGCAACAGACATATTAACATAAATGAATCATTGACTTTTGTAACAGTTATAAAAAGGGAATATACATGAATATAACTGATATATTTATTCAAATCCAAATTCTTCCTCTTTTAATTTCAAGAAGCCTAGCAGAGTACAGTCAATGAATTCAAAGTATTAATAGCATGAAAAGTGAAAGTAGGATATCTATTCATAGTTTTGATAAATTCTATTCAATATGTATGAAATACTAAAGCTTCATGAAGGTTCATTTTTTTATTTTCCAACAAGAAAGAGTTTCTTAAACTCTCTTTTTTTTTACCTTTGTTACTTAATCTAATCATTCTTATTCATTCTTTCATTGCACACATTTTACACATTAAATTCACATCAACAATTTTTTTTCTTAAAAGAGGCAAATCTTTGGAAATGAATTCATACATTTCCCAAGGTTATTTGCACATAAATGAATATAACAAACTCAACTGGATTTGGAACTTGGTTCTCTGATTAAGAATTCCAAGCCATTATCTATTACACCACTTACACATCCAAGCTTACAGTACAAGCTTTTGTTTATTTCTTATCTTGTGTATTATATCATCATAATATACAAATGATACAATGCCATATAAAAACCAAAATTTACAAAAATTACAATAATATATGTGGAAAAATAGTGAAAA